CCCAGCTGAATTTTTGTATTTTTAGTAGAGACGGGGTTTCACCATGTTGACCAGGATGGTCTCGATCTCTTGACCTCGTGATCCACCCGCCTCGGCCTCCCAAAGTGCTGGGATTAAAGGCGTGAGCCACCGCGCCCGGCTAATTTTTGTATTTTTAGTAGAGATGGGGTTTCACCATGTTGGCCAGGATGGTCTCAACCTCTTGACCTCACTATCCACCCACCTCAGTCTCCCAAAGTGCTGAGATTATAGGCATGAGCCACCGTGCCCGGCCTACTACATTTTTTTTTTTTTTTCATTTTTTTCCTAATGTAGCAAAGCAATCATTCTCATAGGAATTTAGTTTAAAGAGAAATAGGCAAAGTGAAAAGGCTGTATGGAGAGAGCTTTCTTAGTCAAGTAAGACCATTTGTATATTTTGATCATTTTCAGGTTAAAATAATCATGATTTTTCATGATATGCATGATAGCTAGAAAAGCCAAGTAAAATTGACTACATTTGCTTTAAGAGCATGTACTTCTTAGTGAAGCGTAGTCTTAATGACTGCCTACCTTTCCCCAAATTGTTTGGCTACAAAAACCTGCTTGCCATTGGCATTTTTGACGGGCACTTCAAAAATTGGCATACATTCAACAGAATTCTTCAAAGAAACAAAAACACGGTCTCTGAGAACTTCGTGGAGGAAAGAGACTCGGACATTATCTAATGCCTCTCTCTCGTTTTATAAAAAAGGACCCACATGGCTGAGGGGTCGAGAACCTTGTCTGTGGTCACCACTGCTCAGCAGTGGCTGGGGCCAGGACCCAACATTTTCTACCTCTCAGTCCAGTATTCTTCGTCACCATGATTCATTTGCTAAGACCTCGCTGCTGTGGGCTTTCTAAATTTAAGCCTGCCTTTTTCATTACAGTTACAAATCCTGTCCACAAACACTTAGTGTGCCTGCATGTACAGTTAGGTCACCTCCAACTTCTGAGCTGCTACGTGTACTTCAAAATTTGCATTAACCAAACACTGTAGGGAATTCTTTTGCATGTTTCATGTATTTCTTCAGGTTTGTTTCTCAGTGAAGTGCTAACCATTTAGCTTGAGAGAACAGAGCCAAGCTGCCCTTCTCTCAGTCTCTGAGATTCTGTTTGTCTAAGACAGAGGTTACCCTCTAGCAGCCGCACAGCTCCCACAGCCCATGGCCTTCTTGAGTGCCATGATGTGGCCTGGTGCATACTGTGGCTCAAACCCTCACCCTGAGGGTGTGCACTGCCCGGGCTTCACTCCACAGCTTCTCACCATGTTTGGTGTGGTGGATTCACCGAGTGATGATGATCAAATGCCTATTTCTGGTCTTAGTGACCTGTTACAAATATAACCTTAATGAGAGCCTGTCTTCTCTTTTAAATGTCTTCTAAATAGGAAGGAAAAAGAGTCAAAACCCAAAATATCTTTCACCCTGTTTTTCTCCTTTGAGGTTCTATTTTTAAAACGTTGTTTTGGTACAGGGTCAAAGTTTCCCTATATTCCTAAAAGAAAACTAAGCTAAAAGAAAAAAATAGCACTGTGGAAGGAAGGTGGGGGCACGGAAAAAGTGAGTGCAAGAAGGGGCCGTCCTGAGGGCTGAAAACTCGGGAGCTGTGAGGAATAGTCCTCCTCCAGGTGTGCAAGATGGGAATTGAACACAGTTGCACACAAGACTGGGCAAGGGCAGAGAAGCCTCTGACTTGACTTCATACCCGGGTCAAGAGAAGGGAGCTTAGAGAATCTTTTGGTGTCCTTCCTCTCCGGCTGGAGGTGCTACAGTGCTGTGGAAGGAGATGGGTCTCTGTGGACAGAAGCATTTTCTGACTTTGTCATGACTTGCAGAAGCTTTTTTGTTATTTTTCTCCAGAGGCATTGTCTTGAGTATTTCTGTCCAGGGTCCCCAACAGGTTCCGGAGATCAGGCATGTGTTGGTGATACCGGAGTAGAACTGATGTTTGAGTTTGCTGGAAAGAGCTAGGCTAGAGGGCTAGAGACTGGGTTGGTTCCACCCAGAGCTAGAAGATGGGGTGGAGATGGGGGAGTGGGAAGACTGCAGTGGTTAGGGGCCAAGTGACTTGTTAAATTGCCAGAACCTAATTCTTAAAATCTCGCTTTCTCACTGTGATGACCCCTTCACTTGTGCCCCAGGTGAATGGAGTGAAGCCCTTTACCCGCTGCTGACCACTCTCACTGACTGTGTGGCCATGATGAGTGACAAGGCCAAGAAGGCCATGGTATTCCTGCTCATGCAGGACAGCGCGCCCACCATAGCCACCTACCTGAGCCTGCAGTACCGCCGTGACGTGGTCTTCTGCCAGACTGTAAGCCCCGGGAACACCCCAAGGGAGGCCACGAGCACCTCTCAGCTCAGAAAAGACAGGCTTAGGAAGCCCTTCCCTCTCACTTCACTTGTAAAAGACCCCAGATGGCCATAATTCCTACTGGTGGTTGCTTTAAAGGTTATTCAATAGAGAGGTCTAAATTTCAACATAGGCAGGAAAGCTACCCTGGCAGCCCATCCTTGCTTCTCCCAAGGAACTGGCACCTGCAGAGTCTGCCAATTTTGTGCCCAGGAGGTAGTGAGGGCATGAGTGGCGCAGGCTTCTTTGCTGCCTTTTGGTTTTTTACTGCACAGGAATTTAGTGAAGGCAACATGGGTGTTTGCTGTCGGTGCAAACATTGTTCATGAAACAGTAGGTGCCTTAGTGCTGTGGCTTGTTACAAGACTCATTGTTGAGAGAAGTGAAGCCTTGAAATTAATGAAACAAATTTAATAGTTTCCAGTAATCAAATTGGTAAAATGAATAGTGATTGGGGGTTGGGCTGGTTCTCTGCAGGTTCCCCCACCCATCCTGGGGAGTCCTGTTTCATCCCCCAGAAAATCTCCCAGTAGGGAAACTTTTGAGTGACCCTCTTGTCTCTCACTTCTGTCTTTTGCTGCGGTTAACTCAGTTTCCAGCTAGGGGTGGTATGGCTCTATGAGTAGATAGACCCTTTCACGTGAGTAATTAATTATGGGCTTCCACAACGTTCCAGCCCAGAAGTAACCCCAAGTATAGGTCAGGTCAGAAGCTGAGCCAAAACCACACTCACTTTGGGAACGACAGAAGTAGCAAGCCCAGAGTGTCAGGTGTCTTCCCAAGGCCAGGGCATGCCTCATCTGGGCTTCCAGAGGGACAACAGGTACCGCTGAAGCCCCTGTGAGCAGTGGCAGCAGAGGGAGGAGGGTGGGTGGGGTGGGGCTGTGCATGATCTGACTGCCATTTGGTGAGCAGGCATCTGACCCTGAACCACTTCACCCCATGCTCCCACAGCTGACTGCCCTCATCTGCGGCTTCATCATCAAGCTGAGGAACTGCCTGCATGACGATGGCTTCCTGCGGCAGCTGTACACCATTGGGCTGCTGGCCCAGTTCGAGAGCCTGCTGAGCACCTATGGTGAGGCACCCGGGTCAGGAGTGGGAGCCCCACTTGGTGTGTGGTTTCTATCCTTTCTTGCTAGGTATTTTTCTCACTATACCAGTAATGTGTGCTGATTGAAATAAATCCAAAATATATGACAATGGGCCAGATGGCAGTCCCAGCAGTTAGACACACACACACACACACACACACACACACACACACACACACACACCCCTTGGTTTGGCTTGCTGTTGTTTCTGGTTGAGGATGGATGCTAATTACTAACCAGTAAACTTCCTGTTGAACATTGGGTTGTTTCTGAAACATCAGTGCAGCAGTGGCATCTGTGCACAAGGCACTTGTGGGCCTGTTTCTGCAGCTACTGAATGACTGGAAGGAGAGTTGCTGGGTCAGAGGGTAAAAATATTTTTAAATTCAATAGATATTTCCAGATTGCCCTCCAAAAAGGCTCTCTTCTTCCTACCCTTGTTTATTATTTATTCCTTCTGAGAAGATGATAGCAAGTATTTGTTAAACTTTGGAAATTGAGGACATCGAATAGATATCAAGCCCTGTGTTATGGGAGGGTCTAGCCACAGCAAAGCTGCTTTAGCATCTCTCTTTCTGTGTTTCAAGAGCTGGCTTTGTTTTCTGCGTTTATGTATTTCTGTATCCCTCTCTGCTGTCCTGTGCTTGCCCAAGAAAGGGTGGGAAATGATGGCGTGTGTTTCCACCAGCTGCATGTTTTGATGTGGCTATGGGATTTCAGTAGCGCTATTGACTCACAGAGGGGCAAGTTGCAGGGGAAGAAGCTCCCCCTCCACCAGAGCCACACCTGGCACCCCTCCTGTTACAGCCAGGCCTGAGCTTGGCGCCTTCTGCCAAGACTCTGGGGAGAGTAGCAGGGCCCTCTGCTTGACAGCCCCGCCCATCTCTCATGTCCAGGTGAGGAGCTGGCAATGCTGGAGGACATGAGCCTTGGGATCATGGACTTAAGGAACGTGACCTTCAAAGTTACTCAGGCCGCTTCCAGCGCCTCCGTGGACATGCTGCCCGTCATCACAGGAAATCGGTAGAGTGTTGGTTTAATTCTCTGAGCCAGAGAACAGTTTCCATGTTTGGTTATCTCAGGGAATGTGCTCTTACTTCTGAATTTTTTTAATCCTATTTCATTCTATTAAATGCTCTGATTACAGCCCCCTACTGCCACTCCCTTAAAGGTCTGTGGTTGGCAGTTTGGCCATCACTGAGCCAGAGGGCCAGCCCAGGCACTGTGGTCTGCTCGGTGGCCCTCTGGCTTCACACTGCTCTCCCTCTCTCTGCCTTTTTCCAGCGACGGGTTTAATGTGCGGGTCCCTCTGCCCGGCCCGCTGTTTGATGCCCTGCCCCGGGAGATCCAGAGCGGCATGCTGCTGCGGGTGCAACCCGTCCTCTTCAACGTGGGCATCAATGAGCAGCAGACGCTGGCTGAGAGGTGCGTGCTGGCCCCTTGGGGCTATGGGGGTGCAGCAGCCCTGGAGATGATGCAGAAAACGTACTTAGCCCTCTTCAGGCTCCAAGTGCTGGGCAGATTTTGTCATCCTTCCTTCCTTTGGTTATGTGTACACATTTTCATCATGACCATGTACCTGACACTGAGGTGGTCTTTGTCCTCAGAGACTCAACTGATGGGAGAGAGAGACATGGATGTAATGATGAACACAGATACAGGGCATTGTGGGATTCCCGAGTAGGTCACCCAGCGAGATCTAAGAGGTCTGTTGAAGGCTTCTTGGAGTTGCAGAGGATGGGGTTTTGAAGTATGAGTAGGAGTTAGATGATGAGATAAAGGGTAGAGGTATCAGATTAAGAAGACTGAACAATGGCCTAGTGGGGAAAAATAGCATGCAGGCCGGGGGCATCAAGTTCCAGGCAGGGATTGGCAGGTGGGGGTAGACAGGGTCTGTGTACCAGGCTGAGACTCATGTTTGAACCTAAAGGCTTACACCTTGTAAACTGCCTTCCAGGATCACTTGCCTCACTGCAGAGGGGAGTTGTGTGTGCCTGTGTGTGTACATGTGTGTGAGGAGATAGGGTAGATTGGCTATATGTACCCTACACTGGCCTTCTACACTAGTAAAAGGGATATCTTAGACAATAAATGACAATACAGGAAACATTCTCATAAGATATCTGTTTAGACTAATCTACACACATCACATTATCTTCATGTGATGTGTGTAATATCTTAAAGTACTTTCCGTGAGGGAAATTTGGTCTCCAGAACAATATGCCATATTCCTGCTGGGCCTTCTGATGTCCAGCCCCAGTGGTTGATGTCCATTGACGCCTAGATGTAGAGTCATCCCAACTTGGGAAATATGCTGGGAGATGCTGAACTTTCAGTGGGGCAGGACACGATCAGATTTACTTTTAAATAGGTCATTTTGCTGTCATGTGCCGGGAGGAGATGAAGGGGACAAGTGTGAGGAGGAGGCTACTGACAGGAATCCAGACCAGAGGTGGGAACCTGGATCAGGGCCGGGGAAGTGTTGGTGTTCTGCAAAGGGGCAGGCTGGGGAACTGTTTAAGTGGTCAGTGGAAGGGTCTGGTCTTCAGTGGGGCTGAGGTTGAGTGGTAGGAGAGTATACCAGACAGACCCACACACTGAGCTCATAAACTAGCAGGAGGGTTATGTCCAGGGGCAGGTGGTGAGCTGGGTTTAGGCTGAGGGCCCAGAAAGCAAAGCCCCAAAGGTGTAAGCAGAGCTGGAGGAGCCTATGCCAGGGAGAGGCGCAGCCTCACTGGAGCCCCCGCAGGGAGATGGCCCAGGAAAGGTAGAATGATGGTGCCTGCATCCAATAGCTGCAGATCCCAGGGACTTGCAGGAGCAGTTTCTGGAGGGGGTTGAGGCAGGGCCAGGTGCAGTGAGCAGAAGGGAGAGTGGAGGATGCAACACAGAACAGAGATGATTTGCAAAGAGCAGGGTCTCTGCTTTATTCCTTCATTGGCCCAGATGTCGCTGGCATGCTGTGCTTGTTTATAAGCTGATGGGAGAGTCCTCAAAGGGGAGGCCACAGGCCCAGGGGCAGGGATGGCCCCCGAGGGAGCAGACGCCTAGAGAAAAGGCCATTGTGGGCACCAGGGTGGATGGGCTGGGACTCACAGGAGGGAGTCCTGCCCTCTGAGGGATGCTCTAGGGCCACAAAGAAGCTGATGCTCAGAAGGGCCCTCAGCAGGGACGTGTGGGACTGCACTGGGGCCCAGGACCTGGACTTTAGAGGATGCATTTTCTAATGACCACCTTGTGCCTTCCTGGCAGGTGACATTCCACAGCCTTGTTTCTTAGGCATTTGGCACATGCTCGCTTGCAGCACACAGGTGTAATCAGGGTGAACTGCAACAATGAGGAAAGGGCAAGGGTTTCATGGTTAGTCCTGCAGGGACCGGCAGCCAGGCATGTTCATTCTGCAGATGGAGAGTGACTTCAGATTGGAATATAGGGCTGCAGCCTCACCTCCCAGCCATACCTCACTGCTGTCCCCCTTCCTAAGTGCCTCAGACAGGAGGAGATCAGGGACTCTGAGCCAAACGGCCATGGTGGGGCTCCTGCGCTGCACAGGATCTGTACGAGATTGTGGTCTGATCATTTCTCAGGCACGCCTGTAACAGTGACACATGATTCCTGCCAATGAAATGTATTTAAACCGATCAGTTGCCTTTATGCTTGGAAGAAGGAGAGTGGCTTAGAATTAAGATATGCACAGTAAATGTTTGAGAGAGTCAGCATTGTTAGCTTTCATGCAGTTGTGTTCGTGTTAGAAGAAAGTGACATATTAGCCAACTAATGGCATCCCTTATAACCTCCCAAGGTTTGGCGATACATCTTTACAAGAAGTCATCAATGTGGAGAGTTTGGTGCGGTTAAATTCCTACTTTGAGCAGTTTAAGGAAGTTTTGCCTGAGGATTGTAAGTATTTCTTCAGTCATGGTAGGTTTCACTTACTCATCTTTTTATCAGTTTGGATGTCTGAGCTCTGGCTTGCCATGCCTCTGTAAGTGCAGTCCCAGAGGGACTGGCAGTCAGATACTGTTCCTTCTCTCCCTAAACACACACATAGAAAGAGAAGCTTCCCTTAGCTGTGGTCCTCCTTCATCTCTTTGCTGTTGATTCTCTACTAGCCTGTGTGACATGGCTCCTTCCCATGCTGTCGTAGTCACTGACATTCGATGTGTTTGGTGGCACTCATCATGCACCTGCTGGTAGGGCTTGGGGGATCACAGGCAGGACTCACCCTTGGCCAGGTGTGCGGCCCATGCACCACCCTCTCTGATGCTTAGAGAGGAAGATGTGGGGCCGACCTTGCTGCGTGTTTGGGAGCAAGATGGCCCCATCTCGGCATCTCCTGGAAGCAGTGGAGATGCTGGCAGTAGTCTCTCTGCATGCCCCTCAGTGAAGACACTGCAGCAAGGGCTCTGTAGCCACAGAACTCGGGAACCCAGAGCTGCACTGCACTGTCTACATGTAGAATTCCCTCTCAAATTCAACCGAGTGAATGTTCCCTGAGGACCTGCTGTGTGTAAAGTGCTAGAAGATCCCATGATGAATGAAGGGTAGACCCTGCCTTGGAGAGAAAGCTGGTCCCAGAGTGCCCGCCTCTCTGTGCAGGCCCTGCCGTAGCCACTAGGGGGCACCACACAGCCAAAGGTGTCGTCCCCACTGCGTTACACTACTGTCCTCTGATGGGGGTTTCCAAAGAGGAAACCCATGTTGGCTGGGCTTTGAATTGGGCAGGCTTCATCTGCATCCTGTACAGTAGACCTTAGAGTTTAGAGATAGTCAAACAGCCATGCTGGTGAACCTTCACAGGTCACAGATGTGCCAGGCACCGGGTTGGGCTCTATACACACTTCCACACTGAACCACAACAGCCCTATGGGTTGGTGTTAGGATCCATGTCCAGATGAAGAAAGGGGTGCCTGGCTCTGAAGCCCATGTGCTTGGATTGTGGCTGAAGCCATCCTTCTAGGAGACACTGAAGCCAAACACTCGGGGCTGGGCCAGGGAGTCTGGCTTCAGTGGTGTTCAGCAGGGAAGCAGTGGGGAAAAAGCTGCCTCTTTGCAGGTTTATCTAACGAATGTGTGATTGGCTTGGAAGAGGGGAGGCAAGCCACTGCTGGCCAGAGTGAGGCTGTGACACTTCAGATAAGATGTTGTTTCACTCTGACTCCAGCCTGGTAGTGACAGTGGGTGTGGAGAGAGGGACGAGCCATTAGGAGGGTTTGGGCTGAAGATGCGCTCCTCCGCGGCCACGTGCAAAACTGGGGAGATAAGGGCTTTGCCTGCTGGGAGAGCTGATGGATCTGGCGCTGGACGAGGATGCTGGAATTGGCAGTAGCAGCAAGGGCCACCGCACCGACGAGAGAGACACAGGGCTGCAGGGGAGGGTGAGCTCAGCACTGGCCCCAGCTGAGCTGATATGGGCAAATGACCCATGAGGAGTGCCGATGTGAAGCCACAGAGCGAGCCCTTTTATGGTTCAGGCCACTGAGTGGCAAGACAAGAAGGGACTGGAACAGCATCTGGAGGGGCCCTTGCTTCTAGGGACAGAGAGGGAAAAGGGATTCAACAGAAGGCCAGAGAGAGCATCACAGGCTAGCAGGAAGAAGGCAGGAGCCTGGAGGGTGTGGGGTGCTGCTGGACTCTGGATGTGTGGATGAGGAGCTGCTGGTGATCTCTCCCGGACAGTCTCACTGTGGTGGGGACTGGACCGGGGATCAAGGGGTGATGAAATGGCACTGCTTTTGAATGGACCACTCTGTCCCAAAGACTGTCAGTGACTTGAGGGATGGGGCAGTGGGCAGCTGGGACATACCTTGGAGATGCAGGGGACATGGGAGTGTTCAAAGGCCTGAGGGAAGGTACCAGAGAACTCACAGGACTGGAAGACGTGAGAGGATGGCAGAGTCACAGACCAGGCCCTGGAGCAGGCAGGCAGAGGGTGCCTTTGCAGGGAGGGAAGGAAGGAATAGAGGAGATAGGGACACGAATGGAGGAAATACCGGGTGCTCAGGTTGGGTGGCCTCAGTTTCCTCAGTAAAACAGGTGTTCTTGTCCTGCTCAACATGAGAGGTGAGCATGAAACCGGGGCCTTGAGGGGAGTGGAGGTAACTGGCACAGATGCAGAGAGCCTGGAAACATACAGATGCCTGGGCCCTACTCCAGAGTGTGGTGGGCAGGGCCTGGGCATAACTCCCCAGGTGGTTCCTGTGTGCCACAGCCAGGGTGATAAACATGACGTTAAGTCAAGGTCCTGCGAGGACTTGGCAGCTGAAGACCGTCAGTGCCGTGGACAGTGGAGCTGTTAAGAAGGTGTCCTTATCCTCTTCAGCAGGGATCGGAGTTAACACAGCATATTTGTCCACACTTGCTGCAAGCCGGACCCCCTACTACCCACTTTATGTGGATTCTCTAATCTGATCCCTGCAGCAGCCCTGGGAAATAGGCATCAGTTCCACACCCACTTGGCAGATGAGGAAACTGAGCCATGGAGGGAAAGTCTCCCCAGGAGCTGGGCCAAGCCCAGGCATCACCTTATCTTCTGATTGGTGTAGGGGAGAGGATGGGCCCACCCGCAGGGCTGGCCAGGGAGCCACAAAGTGAGCAGGGAGGGAGTAGGGGGCATGTACTGAGGCCGGGAGGAGTGGGAATGACGAGCAGCTGCAGTAAGTAGGAAGGGGTAATTTGTGCTCAGCGCCTTGGCAGCTGGGCAGTCCCCAGGGTCGGGAAGCCATAGACAGTGAGGGCCCAGGACAGGCGAGGCCTCTGGAAGCAGAGCAGCCAGGCTGGACCGCACAGGCAGGAGCCAACTGACTGGACTATGACCCAGGAAGCTGGGGCAGAGGCAGCCAGGTACCCTTCCCCCCAGGAGTATGTCTGGTCTATGAGGCTGAGGAGATGGAGCCCACCAGCTGAATACCCCCAAACTTTGCATGGTTCCTCAGTGGACAGGTATTCATTAAAGTAGGCGCTGCAGGGACAGCCAGCAAGAAGCCACAGTGCAGATGTGAAGCCACAGGTGAGATGATGCTGTCTCCGCCAGAGGGCGAATGTCCTGACCCAGCTAGGCTCCCCTCCTCTGGGGTTCCACAGCTTCCGTCTGGGCTGATGCTGGCTTTCTGTCTCTCTGTCTCTGCCCTGGCCCCTGACGGGTGTGGTGCAGAGCACTCAGCAGCAACGTGAAGTAATTAGCACACGACCTGTGTACACCAGGGCAAGGCTGTTTGGTGGAAACCAGGTGTGCAGTTAGATCCCAAATGCCATGTACTTAGTTTGGCTTTGGAGATTTCAGTGCTGTGGCTGTTTTACTTAGCCATGACCTTTAGACTCTTCTCTTTGTCTTTGGTAATCCCAGTGTTTGAAAATCCCAGAGTACCTTTTGGTAGTGGTTGATTTTTTTCTCAGTTTTGTCTGGGGTTTCTCGGTAAGGTGACTTGATGGATCTTCAGGCCCAAGGGATCCTGGAAGGGCCTGGAGACTGCCAGAGTTGAGGAGGAGCTGTTAGGATGTGCAAGCAGGGGCAGCGTGGGCCAAGGGCCCCCTGGAGGAGGCTGCGCTTTCCAGATCCCTCCCAAGGTTTCCAGGCCTCCTTGATGGCCCAGACCCACTGCACCAGTTTCTTCCATCCTGGGGAAGTTTTGAAGACCAGCTGGATCCCCCTCACTCCCTCCTAACTCCCTCATGTGGGAGGGGTGTGGGAGGCAATGGGTATTTACAAGAAGTCCTGTAGGTGATGTGGCCATTCCCATCCCTCAGAAGAGCTGAAGGGAGATGAAGGAATTGTCCTTTGAAGGTAGCACTAAAATGGCAGTGAAAGAAATTAAGTGCTCACCACATCAGCAGCCAAGTCTTATCCCCAAACACCTCCATCCCTTCTTCAACTGGGAACTTGTCATTTTACCAGTTTGTGCCACAGCAGTTCACTTGGGTGGGCTCCCTCTGTCGGGGGAAGTTCCTGGGTGCAGCACCCACTCCCATGGACTCCTTTTCTCTTCCAGGCCTGCCTCGGTCTCGCAGTCAGACGTGCCTGCCAGAGCTGCTACGGTTTCTGGGTCAGAACGTGCATGCCCGGAAGAATAAGAACGTCGACATTCTCTGGCAAGCTGCTGAGGTACTGTTATAGAGAGGAAAGGGAGAAAAGGAGGCTATTGCTATGCCCACTACCAAAGGTCAGACAGGAACATTACAAAGTAGAATCTCAGGAGGGAGAGCAGATCTCTCCGTACTGGTAGAAGAAGGAATCGCTGAGTACATTCCAAAGCTCTGGAAGAGACTGAACAGTTCACAGAGTCCATTCCTTTGGGGCTGCCTGAATTCTGAAAAGCTTGACACAGTCCATCCCTTGAGGCATTTAGTAGCCAGGCTGATGACAGTTGTCACCCTAGAAGCCTGGCAATCGATACCAGCTGAAGCCCACTATCTATTGCATCTTTTAATAGGGTCAGAAGGAGGCCATGTGACCTTTCAGGTCTCTTTAAGCCATCTTTATTGTACATTGTGCTTCTGATCTCATTTTCCCAAGCACTTACCCTGCTCATATTTTCTTCTAAGTTTATATATACTTAGGATTCCAAGCTGCTGCTCTGAGCCTGGGTATCAGAGCAATTTCGTAGCTGGTTGTTCACTCACGCTTAAAGAGGGGTGAGGTTAATTCTTCTCCACAGCAGCAAAACCTGCCCAGCACTGGAACTTGGGCACACATAGCCCCCAGTGGTGTTCCTGATCCCTGCCTGGGCCCTAGGAGAGGGGTGGTGAACCCAAGAAGGAAGTGGTACTGCTCTGCCCACCGCACCTCGGCCACCGTGCCTCGCTGCAGAGCCCGAGCAGCAGAGGGTCAGCCCTCCACAGCTTCCCCAAGCATCTCACTCTGAAGCATGCCTCTCCGTCTAGTCAGGAAGGTGCTCTCTCGGCCCCAAGTCTCTTCCACAGCAGCAGATGGTCTCAGCTGCTCACGGTGCTTGGCCGCCACTTCGGGTTGGTTATTAGTCCTATGTTCAAGCCTGGCTTCCTGAAGCCACACTTTTTGAACGTGCCCCACATTCTGGCTTTGTTAACAGTTGTGGCTGCTGATACCGTTCTGTTGAATTAAACTTTAAAGAGTGAACATTCCCCTGCATTTTTTCGAGTGCCTCAGCTGTTCAAACTTTGTCCTCATGGAAAGCATGGGATGCGTCAATCTGCAGGTCTCCCCACTCTGGGCCAGGCTGCCCTCTAAACCTTTCATTATAACGAACACATTTTGGAGCACCAAGTGACAGGAAGTTCGGCAGGTTTCTCCGGCCTCATTTTTCAGGTATCCTCTTGGTTTTGGAGCCTCATGTGGCATTGGGGGTCTCTGCAGCAGAGCAGAGGGGCTTACTACTTTTATTTTTTCTGGGGGGTTGCTAAACCTCCCTGCCCAGGCTGTGACAGCCTTTTACCTAAGTACCTTAAGAGATTTCATATGAAGAGCAAGCCTTTCCCACATAACATTGAAGAATACAGAGGGTGGCCAGGTGTGGTGGCTCACACCTGTAATCCCAGCACTTTGGAAGGCCGAGGCAGGTGAATCACCTGAGGTCAGGAGTTCAAGACCAGCCTGGCCAACATGGTGAAACTCCGTCTCTACTAAAAATACAAAACTTAGTCGGGCGTGGTGGTCGGTACCTGTAATTTCAGCTACTTGGAGGCTGAGGCAGGAGAATCGCTTGAACCTGGGAGGTGGAGGTTGCAGTGAGCTGAGACTGCACCACTGCACTCCAGCCTGGGTGACAGAGCAAGACTCTATCTCAAAAAAGAAAAAATAAACAAAACCAAGCAAACAAACAACAACAACAACAAAAAAAAAAAGAATGCAGAGGGTGACACAGCTAGGTCTCTGAACAGTGGTGGGGGATGTGTACTCTGATTCATTCTCCTTAGAATAAACACACAGGCAGCTTTACAGACATGCGATGCAGAGACCTTGTGCATACCTTGTTTGGGAACTGTGGTTCTTCTTGTCTATTGCCATATAATAGAAAAATCATTAAGTATAGGGACACTTGACCATGCCCTGTCACCAGAACAGAAAAGCTGTCTATCAAGTCCTGTATTTTTTGTTCCCAATAGAGACCTAAAGGTATACAAGCATGAGTGTAGAGGTGGAAGTCTCTCAGAGACCCTCTGCTGTATCCATTCTCATATTGTCCACCAAACCCCAGGCATCCCCTGGGGATAAGTGGTTGTGGGGCCGCAGTGCCAGCCACTCAGGTACTGCATCTTTCCAACCCCAATTTGATCAGAGCTGCTCTTTTTTCTGGCTCCTGTTTCTTTCTGTTTGCATGTATGAACAAAGGGTCCCTGGCTAAATAGCTGGAATATCTTTAGTCAGGTCTAAGCCCATATCTCATGGATGAGGAGACGCAGCAGTGCACCAGAAGTGGCTGATGGCCTTCTGGAATGGTAGCCTGGCACTGCAGTGCCCTCTTGGGCAAGGATGCATCACTGGCCACCCCTGCCTGCCTTTCAGACCCTCATATTAGCTCTGGATGCAGGATCTATGAATTTAAAGCTTTTTGAAACCTATAGTTCCAGCTTCCGCCATGTGTTTGGGTCATGTACTCTACAGCCCCCAGAATTTAGTGCACATACCAAGTTCACTCTTGCTTTGTCAGTTACAACTTTACAAATTTGATTAATTCACTCCTCATTAGTGTAGGATCTGCTTTATCTGCTTAGGGTCTGTTGCTTTTTCTTTTTTTCTTTCTTTTGGTCTGTTCTCAAAAGAAGCCTATTCTCCTTCTGATGGTCTTGCCTGAATAATGGGTCTTTTCTGTTTTGTCTCTCTCTGGACAAGGTTCTTAGCACTGTACCATATTCATGTCTAGTGGTGATCCTGCTAGTGACTGGCATGCTCTTTGGCTTTGCTGGCCTGACAAGCAGGTTTTGTGCCATCTTCAGGAGTTGACAAGACACTGATATTTTCCTGGCATACAACAGATACCTGGAGCCCACCATCATACTACTTGGATGATGTTTCATTAAATACCAGCCTTGCTGTCATAGTGCAGTATCTGATAAGGTGCATAGTCCTTTATCTGAAGCCCTTGTGGCCAGATGTTTTGGAATGCACAGGTTTTCAGATTTTAGAAAGTACTATGGTACACAGTCGGTGTTCTTATATGTAAGTAATATGGTGCTGGCCGGGCGCGGTGGCTCACGCCTGTAATCCCAGCACTTTGGGAGGCCGAGGCGGGTGGATCACGAGGTCAAGAGATCGAGACCATCCTGGTCAACATGGTGAAA